CACAACCCTCAGAAGCCCACCGGAAATTGACAAAAGTTCTTCTCAGTATTGCAGACAACAGGGATGATGGCTTGGAATAGGTTTGGCCGCAAAAAGCGATTCAACGGAACATGGTGCCATACAGTTGGAAAATCGTGGTCGACAATCGGTTATATTTGCACAAGACTTCGAAGAGGATATGGACTTCGAGCGTGCCCTCTCAGAACAGCCGCCATACGCATCAGTGGTTATCGAGACCGCCGCCCAACCGAGGGAGTTTTCAAAGCAGGCCTCCGGTGTAAGAGACGGTCGACCTCAGAACCGCTTCGCTGGAACCGTGACCGACATTTGGGCGATTTGGTGGCTCTTCAAAAACTTCTTGCATAATCAGAGTCACCCCCGCGAGTCCTTGATCTCAGAGTACGACTCGAAGCTGAACTAGCTAAGCGAGGTCTTCGCGTCGATTTGAAGGACCAACGTGGACCAGATTGCAGGTCTAGAGACACATCATGATACTTTGAGGCCCTTGAAGGAGCCTTGGTGGATGCTGCTATGCCGCTGTACTCGACTCCAGCTGGGAAGCGGTCGCCTCCTGAATTCAGTGAGGAGACAATGGTCCTCTCCAAGGCAAAGCAGGACATCCAAACCAAGCTGCCCAAAGTTGGTTCTACGACCAGCTGGCCGTGGAAGACCGTGATGTCGTCCTTTAAGGTGGCGGCCCTGGCAGCTAAGCGAGCAGTACGTTTCGAGAAGCGTCGGAGGCTGGCACTCCTGATCTCTGAGGCGGAGCGCGCTAAGGAGCGCCAGGACATTAGGCGTTTTTGCAGCATCGTGAAGCGTCTTGCGCCGAAGCCCCGCCCCCCTCTTCTCACTGTTCGCAGCGCGTCCGCAGCGGCAGGGCGCGTGGATGGCGAGGAAGACCTGCGAGTTCGCACGGGTGCTCTTCGCGAAATCTTTCAGTCCCAGGGGGTCCCCATGAGCAGCCCTGGTGGTCCACAGAAACTAAACGACCCCTGGAAGGCGATTTCTCAGGGGACGACATAGAACAGGTCATCTGGAAGCCCCCGAACTTCATGGGCGGCCCCGCATTGAAATCGCACGACCCCGAGCATTGGACCCCGACCGTCCCCCGGCCTGAAGGTGAAGTCGCTGCTGCAGACCTTTTTGGAACTTTCCAGCCCTGTAACCAAAGGCCCCAGGACGGCCGCATTCAAAGCGTGCCAAGTATACGGCGGGGCTGCGCAGCGGTTGAAAACGGCGAGGCGGCCGGCGTCAGAAAGCCAAGAGGCGATGGGACCAATGCGAAAGACCACTATAGAACAATACTTCTCATCGGCCACATGGGTGAGGCCTACGCAAACACCGTGGCCGCGCCGACGTTGCGGCGCTTGGGCGCTTCTCTGTCTTGCGCGCAGTTTGGGGCCCAACAGGGCCGCTCTGCGCGAGACGCCGTTGCGGTGGTCGACGAGATCCTTCGCCGCTTCCATCGACGCGAGCGGCGATCGAAGCGGCCCGCTCGTTTTCTCGGAGCTATTCTGCTGGACCTGGAAAAGGCGCTAGGTTTTTTCCTTGGGATCAGATTTGGGTGGCCCTCGAGCAGTCATCGTTGCCCAGAGGAGTGCGTCTTTGCATTGGGGAAATACATGACGGGGCTTTTCATATCATCAGGGGCCCTCGTGCCAATCAACCCGCTCGTAAACTCCTGGTGGGAGAAGGGGTGCGTCAGGGCCAGGGGGGGGGGCCCAAGTTTCTTCGTCGCGATATATGACATGATTGTTTCGGAGGTTTCCGAGGGCATCCCTGGGGAAAAAAGAGCAAAAAGGCTTCCCAGGGGCCCAGGTCATCTTCGATCCAGCCTTCCAGATCTTGCGATGCACGGGCGTTTCATGTCTCGGAAGTAAAATTCGTCGATGACTTGATCGCAATGACGGTCGCCCACTCCTCTGAAGAAATCGCGGATTCCTCGAACTTCCTGAGGGCAGAAATCGAAGCCAGGGGCACGATAATCAACGCGCCCAAGACAGAGATGATTATCAGGGTTGCTGGAGGTGGATGTAAAGGTTGCGACGACAGTTCCAGAGTAAGCAAACAGGAGTTCACTTTCGCGAAGCTGACGGTAAGTGCCTAGCCCAGCACGCACTTCCGCATGTCAAGTATTTAGGAGTGCGCCTTCCTGTCCAAGGCACTATGCGAGACGAAGTCGCCGCCCGCTTGCAGAGTGCGAACTTTGCCCGCGGCAGATTGGCGCAACGCATCATCCGCAGCAACATCGGCATGCGCTGAAAATTTGTTTGTGGTGCTCGCTGGTCCGATCAGTGGCTCTTTTTTCCACGGAAGTGGCTGTGCTGACTAAATCAGAAGTCGCGCGACTCGAACGCTGACAAAACAGGCGCTTTTGACACCTCTTTCGTTCGCCCGCCCATCTTAAGCGCGTTCCGAATGAGGGGATCAGGAAGAAGGCGAATATTCCCAGCGTGGCCTCTAACATCCTAGTCAGAAGGATAGAATGGTGGAAACACGTCATGGGACCTGCTTTTTTTCTGGACGCCCCCCCCCCCCGACTACGACCCGAGCAAAGTGGTCAGAGCGGTCGTGTTCGGCAGGTTATCGTTCGAGGCCCCTTCTCTCCTGGAACCTACCGCTCGTCTACTACTACTAAGGGATGACCTGACTACCCTCTGGAAGTCCATGGGCGAGCCAGCTGTGCCAGGTACCCCTGAGAGAGTCCCCGCGGTGCACCCCAAGTGGCTCCCCTGGCTCCACGAGACCTCCGTCGCGGCTCTTCGTTCTGCGCTGTCGTTCTCGGCCCTGAGTGATGACCGACCCAGTGGCGAGGGTGGTGATGGCATCGAAATCCGAGTGCGTCAGTGTCCTGATTGTGGAAAAGCGTGTCGGGGCCAAAAAGGTCTTTTGAACCCTAGATTGCGAGTTCATAACGTCGAACTTAACTTTCTAGCAGTACCTGAGGAACTTCTTAAACGTCGTGCATGCCCACATTGCAGTGCATCGTGCACCAGAAAGGATTCCCTCCAACACCACATCCTCCACCGGCGCCCAGTGGCTCGAGGGCATCAGACAGCCCAGCCCGTTCCTATAGCATCCGGGGCTGGCCGCAGTGCTAGCGCTGGCGACGTTCGAGCCGCTCGGGCCAATCACCAAGGGCGCGACGAGGCCCCGACAGGAGAAGGATGAGGCAGAGGGCAAAGACTCGAAGGGCGCCGTGGGCGAGGGCTCGGTGAGCAAGCAGCTGCAGACGGCCATCGCCCCCCTGGTGTCGCAGCGCGAAGACGCGCTCCGAGGGTCGGCGCGCGACGACAATCTCGTGATCATGACGAGGTGCTCGAACCCGATCGCGAAGGCGCTGGTGGCGAGCACGGCGCGGCGCGCAGAGGCGGGGAAGAAAGCCCGCGAGGAGGCCCAGGAGGGCGCCTCCTTATCGGGGCGATGGAAGCCATCAAGGGGGGCAAGGCCGCGGTGGAGCAGGCCGCCGAGCAGGGGCTGGACCCGATTAGCACCAAGCAGGCCCTGGAGCAGTTGGTGGTATGGGGCGAGAAGGCCAGCGCGAAAGAGGCCGTGATCCAGGCCACGAGGTGCTTCTTCATCGAGACGAATGAGAGCCCAGACAGCGACGTGGAGTGCGTGAAGTGGATCTTCGCGATGAACTCACACCCAGAGCTCAAGGCCGCGTTCGACATCGCGCGGTCCAACGGGTACCTGAAGGCGATCAGCCTCCAGCTGGGCAAGGACGAGGCGCCCCTCAGCCGCGCCGCCAAGCAGGTAGAGCGCCTGGCCTTCCGCAAGGGCGGGGGCGGAGCCGCGGCGGGCAAGGGCAGGAAGAAGCGGCGCAAGCGGTAGGAGTTTCAGAGGCAGTAGCAGCAGAGCCTGAGGATCCCCCCTCTTCTCGAGTTGGAAATCCAGGGGCTTCCAACCAGAGGCTTATCACATCCTTCTTTGGCTTTTCTGGTGGCAGGTGAGTGAGTTTTTGGATCGGGGCTCGGAAATTTTTGTTTCTGGTGTAGTTCCGTAGCCCTCCCAGGACCAGAGGGTTCAGGGAGGCTTCCCTCGCCGTGTTACCCCTGCAGGGGCGGGGGTGCGCGGGGGCAGGATGCTAGGCTTCTCTTCTAAACTATGTCTAGCCGTGCTGGCTGATCGTCCGCCCTGCGTGCCTCTGCCGGTCTTCCATCGTTCACAGTGGATGATGGCGCCGAGATTTCGGTAGGCTTTAGTTGACCCCGCACGAATCCTCCAGAGCCATTGACTAAGGGGGGCTGTGCTGGCAAACAGAAGTAAAATTTGCATCCCTAAGGGATGGTGGCATTTTTGGGTTCACGGCTTCCAGAACCCACCACAATGAGCAACGAAAGAAATGGGTTTAATTGTGCCGGCACTTGCGCGTAAGCTGCCCGCGCAAGGTCGCGCGTGAGCGCCATCTTTTGGACGCCGTGTGCCAGGCTGGCGGCTCGCGGGACTCAGCCGTGCAGAAAGTGGATTGGCGTGCTCGAAAGTTGTCGGAAGTTTTCGAAGTGTTCGGAAGTTTTCTGGAGTTTTCGGGTCCTGGGTCAGTTCCCATCGGCTGTACCCTGTCAGGGGCGTTCGGGGGGTGCCAGGATTGTCCCGAACGGCCGCTGGAGACCCTAGGTATGATGGCCCGAAAGCCAGACGACGACAGGGTCCGAGTAGATGGGGTCGGACCAGCGAGCCGCATCGCGGATGCATCGACAGTCTGGGTTGATGTGGGGCCCGATTTCTTCCACGCTATCATACCCCCTGCGAACAGAGATCACACACAACCTCCGTGCCGGCACGGACCCCCCCATCGGACAACCGCCCTCCCCTGAGGGTGCCCACAGTCTTCGCGGCACACTTCTTTTGAGCATCACCACATGGCTGGAGGCCTCCCAGATAGGGTCCGAGTAGATGGGGTCGGGGGATCGCGCCGCCTCGCGCATATATCCGCGGTGCGGCTCGAGGTGGAACCCGATTTTATCCGCGCCGACTGCGCTGGTGCGTCGCCAACGCATCGCCGAGGCATAGCTTGTGCATCGGCGATGCATCGGCGATGCGGCGCGATGCTCCGACCCCATATACCCGGATCCGATCTGGAAGGCCTCCAGCCATGCGGTGATGCTCAAAAGAAGTGTGCCGCGCAGCTTGTTGGCACCCTCAGGGGAGGGCGTTTTGTTCGATGTGGGTTCCATGTTGGCGCGGAGGTTGTGTATGGTCTTTGTCTGCTGGGGGGCTGGTGGCAGCAGGCGAACGCACGTGTTACCGCGATCGCAGGTGTGTTGCTCCACCGCCCTTTGTTGGACGTCTTGCCACCTCGTCAGCAGAGCGTCTTCAAAGCCAAGCAGCATGGCCATGCTAGCCTGTGTTTAAGGATCGCCTAAGCTACTGCGCCAGTTCCAGACCATGCGATGTAAATTTGGCTGTGTGAGATCCAGACAAGGTTGAGGACACCGACGTTGATGTCTGGGCTGACCAGATTTAAGCAGTTCTCCTCAACCTGCAATGCTCGCTCCATGATCTAGAGCATGCCTCCTTGCATGCCAGGCCCACCGGCAAATCATGGACGATGTGATCTTTACATTCGCTGCGTACGCCCAGCGGCTGGAGAAGGAGTCAAGCCGAGCACAGCGAAGGAGGGGGCCTTGGACTCAGAACCGATCGAAGTGCTTCTTCCAGACTAGCCACATCGATTCGCCATGTGTCGATCCTAGCAGTTTCAGAAATTGCTACTCCGTGCCCACGTATAGCTGTCTCGAGGTACGCAACTCGTTCGCGCTGTTTGCATTCTTTTCGGCACGCGCCAAACATATGTTTTGTCGGCGTCGCCTCTGTCTCGAACATGTCCGTACACTGGTTGCCCAACTCATCAGCGTAGCTTGCGCCATCGCCGCAGCAAGCGATCTGTCCCAAGACGCACGTGATACGTATTAGCACGAGCGATGCAGTGGTGGCATCTGGCTCACAAGCAGGGGGAGACCCTTGAAATCAGTCGACCTCTCTGACGGCAGTGCCGATGAGTTGGCGTGTAGGCCCACTGCTTGCATGTGTTGGCGATCCTTGCGTCCGGCGTTCGAGCATGTAGCTCGCAGGGCTAATACGTGGTCGACATCGACAGAGGGTCGTGGAGGAGGAGGAGGAGGAGGAGGAGGAGGAGGGATGTGGACGACAAGAGTAAACAAAGCCAACACATCCAATCTGTATCCACTTCGCTGCTTGAGAAGGCCCTTACACGGAGGCAGAGGGAGGAGGATGGAAACAGAGACACATACGAGTAGTGTCCACCATATTTCGTATGTCGCAGTTGTTAGGGTAGCGTCCTCCTGAAGCGGAAGATGAAGAGGAGGAGAACGGAGGGGGAGGGCGAGAAAGAGGACGAGGACGGGACGCCTTATTTGGATTCAAGTATATTCGCGTAAACCGCCACCAGTGGCCCACTTTCTGACAGCGGCGCCGTTGAAGCAGAGGGAGAAGTATTGTAGTGGTAATACGAGCAGTATTAGGGGCATGTTTGCCAGGTCGAACGAGTGTGCTGGTCACGCCCATTCCCACTTTCCATCTCATGTCAGAATCATGTGTGTGTATCACAACTTGGTATTGGGATTGGAGCGCTTTCCAACCTGGTGGTCATAAGACGATCGCGCGCCGTCCCGCTTCCGACGATTTGGCGAACGGACAGCTACGCGAGCCGCGCAGAGGTGGGAGCGGAACTTGATCCTTGCGGGGCGCTGCGGCTGGAACACATTTTAATCCGTCGTTCGGGCGGCCAGCCGATGAGCGCGGCGAAGGCGAAGCATGCGCCGCGCTCACGCAGCATTGTCACTTTCACGCAGAAGGTGCGCGACGTGCTGGCGAGGACCGCATTTCGCTCGCTCTCGCGCGGCTCCGCCGCCGCTGCCGCTTCCAAGAAACATGCACGGCGCCCGCGCGGGAAAGCCACTTCCGCGCAGCTTGGGCGAAGGCGAAAAGTTGTCCTTTCGCGCGGGGCCCCCAGATTTTGGCGCCACTTCCGGGCGAAATCTGTGCGGCGCCGAGGCAAAAGCGACATTTTCGTCCGATCGCTTGTGGGCGAACTGGCGTGCGAAAGTTGCACGCCACGCCCACAACAGATCTCAACTGTCTCGAAAATCATCGCGGTGCACAGGCTGGAGTGACATTTCGCCCTTTCGCGCGCGATGTGTGCCGCGTCCAGTTCCGGCCACGCAGTGTGGAAGGTCAATTGAAACTGAAATTATTCACTGCGTGGAGCTCCCCATATGTGCATCTACTCGCATGGACCTGTCCGCCGTGAATGTCTAGGCGCAAGAGCTTTCGAATATTAACGGGCTTCAGTTGTGACGGTATGGACATCAATCTAACTGCGAATGAATTGGAGTGTGAATGAGCCTCAGTAGTACGAGCGCGTCTCTGTGCATGAGCCTGGGGCCTCCTGGGGCCTCCTGAAACCTACTGGGGCTTCCTGGGGTCTCCAGGAGCCTCTTGGGACCTCCTGGGACCTCCTAGGAAGGTTTCGTGCCCCAGGGGAGGCGCAATCTATAGCAACAGACGTACATAAAACATTGCGGATTAGAGCCACAGGAGAAGGGCAATCTATAGGAACACGCGTAAAACACCAAGGACTCGTGCCCCAGGAGAGGCCCAATACATAGGAACATGAGTAAAACATTTAGGATTGTGTACACAGGAGAAGGACCATCTATAGAAACATACGTAGAACATCAAAGAATCGTGCTCCAGGTGAGGCCCAATCGATAGGAGCATACGTAAAACACATGGGATTGGAGCCACTCCTGTTGCCTTCTGAGGCCTCCTGCTCCTGGGGCCTCTCGGGGCCTCCTGTTGCCTTCCGAGGCCTCCTGGCGCTTCCTGTTGTCTCCTGGGGTCTCCTGTGGTTTCCTGAGGCCTTCTGGAGCTTCCTGGGGCCTCCTGGAGCCTCTTGGGACATCCTGTGGCCTCTTGAGTCTTTCTGTGGCCTCCTGATGCCTCCTGGGACCTCATGTGGTCTCCTGGAGCCTCCTGGAGCCTGTTGGAGCCTCCTGTGGCATCCTGAGAAGAATCTGCGCCCACGAGCCTGGCCACCAAAACTAGCAAACCGATCGAGACATCCTCAAAATCTGGCCCACCTGGGGGGTGAAAATGAGCGCCTCGCTCGAGACATCCTCCAAATCTGCTCCGAAAGCGAAGGATGTTGGGCACAGAAACAGGCAAACCGCCTGAGACATCCCCACAAAATGGCCGCGAACGAGCCCGTGCAACCACCCCTGGCGGCTCCCCTTAGGGGTGCTGAAATGAGCGCCTCGCTCGAGACATCCTCCAAATCTGCTCCGAAAGCGAAGGATGTTGGGCACAGAAACAGGCAAACCGCCTGAGACATCCCCACAAAATGGCCGCGAACGAGCCCGTGCAACCACCCCTGGCGGCTCCCCTTAGGGGTGCTGAAATGAGCGCCTCGCTCGAGACATCCTCCAAATCTGCTCCGAAAGCGAAGGATGTTGGGCACAGAAACAGGCAAACCGCCTGAGACATCCCCACAAAATGGCAGCGAACGAGCCCGTGCAACCACCCCTGGCGGCTCCCCTTAGGGGTGCTGAAATGAGCGCCTCGCTCGAGACATCCTCCAAATCTGCTCCGAAAGCGAAGGATGTTGGGCACAGAAACAGGCAAACCGCCTGAGACATCCCCACAAAATGGCCGCGAACGAGCCCGTGCAACCACCCCTGGCGGCTCCCCTTAGGGGTGCTGAAATGAGCGCCTCGCTCGAGACATCCTCCAAATCTGCTCCGAAAGCGAAGGATGTTGGGCACAGAAACAGGCAAACCGCCTGAGACATCCCCACAAAATGGCCGCGAACGAGCCCGTGCAACCACCCCTGGCGGCTCCCCTTAGGGGTGCTGAGTATGAGTAAGTCTGTGTATGAGTAAGTCTGTGTATGTGTACGTCTGGGTATGACTAATACTGTGTATGAGTAAGTCTGTGTATGAGTAAGTCTGTATATGAGTATGTCTGAGTGTGAGTAAGTCTGAGTATGAGTAGGTCTGAGTATGAGTAAGTCTGAGTATGAGTAAGTCTGTGTATGAGCAAGTCTGAGTATGTCCGACAGGAGGGGAGGAGAAAAGAGGAGGAGGAAGGAGGAGGAGGAGGAGTAGGAGGCGTCCAAGTAATAACAAGAACCCCATCTTAGGATATGGGGAAAACATATATCTTCTGTGTTTTGATGGGTGAGATTGATCCACTTGGATTTATTGCCCTCGGCCAGCTAGGTGGCAAAGTGGCAGGTAGTCATACGGGCACGCGGTGCGGGTCATTACATGGTCACACGCCCGGATGTGTGCCCATTGGGTTGGCCATTCGGATGTGTAGTTGATCGTAAGTCGTTTACTGTCGTCGCCCCACCACGCAGAGAAATCCTCGGGACGGTAATTTGATTGTGGGAATCTTCACGGTCCTCGAACTCTTCAGGAAGGTCGGCAACATGTTTGGGATTCCTCGCGGCAGCCTGTCGGTTGCGCCATGTGTTCCAATTCGTTCTCGCAGGCTTCCTGAGCATGGTCGTTCGTGGAAATGATTTGTAATTTGTTTTGGGAAACCGCTGATCTCCTGACGCTTACTTGTGCAATCCCTGAGGCTCCTCAGGCGGAGCCCATCCCAGCCAACCACATGTGCTTTGCAATCGGAGCTCATGAAATCTTGGCGTGTCGCACGACATTCATCCTGCTGCCACACAAACACATATGTGACGGAACCCATCCCTCGCCCCAAACAGTTACATGATATGTTCTTGCTTGCTTTTGTCCACTCTGATGTCAACACGTGCAGTGCCCATGACAGCCCCTCACATAGTCTGTCAACTTTCTGTTATCTTCTTGATAGTAGCTCTTTAGGAATGGCCCCACCACACTTCAAAACGCTTTATCCCGCAGTTTTGCTGCCAACCGGGACTCACTAGTAATGGGCCCGTCCTGGCCCCCCCCAAAAGAGTTTGTATGTTACATGCTTCCGCTGGCTGTCAACAGGAAAG